CCACAGGCTCGGTCGCAGGTGCCCTGAGCGTGGCGGCCACCAAGTCTGCAGGCCCTGGCCAGGGGAGCGCAGCGCTAGCGGGAGTGGCCTCCAGGGCCGCCGGGAAGAGCAAGAGCAGTGTGGCCATTGCAGGCGCCCTAAGCACGAACCCCAGGAGCCTGACGGTGGCCGTGGCAGGTACAGCCAGTAAGACCTCGGAGTCTGTTCCCAGCGTGTCCCCCAGCCTCACCCCAGAGGGCAGCAGGAGTGTGCCGCTGGTGGTGGCAGGAGAACTGTCCAGCCAGACTGTTGGAGACCCGGTGGCAGAGGCGGCCACCCCGGAACCTCTCGCGGCTACGTCGCCAGGTGAGCAGAGGAGAAAGCAGCGAGCTTCGGCCGGTGCTGAACCACGCAAGGAGCGCAGGGAGAGGAGGGAGAGACGGGAAAAGGGCAGGGCGGCCACTGGCCGGAGTTCCCATCACCGCAGACCAGGGGATAGTCATCGCAAGACAGGGGGCGACAAGGTATCCCGGAAAGCATCCAGCCGCAGAAGTTTCCGAGATGACAAAAAGGGCAAAGGCCACGGCAGCGCCGAGGGCAGCAAGCAGAGGATGGTGCACAAGGGTGTGAGCCGCACTCCCATCTCCAAGGAGTCCAGGGCCTCTCAGAAATTCGGGAGGAGCCTGTCCACGGCCAGTTCGGGCTCCTCCAGCAAGAGGCTCAGCAGGATCAGCTCTTTCTTGAGGAACGTCAGAGCCAACCTCACTACAAAAACGGTGACCTCTGCTCGTGGCAGAGATGTGGATGTCGTGGCCAAGACGGTAGAGAAGAGTAACATGGAGGCCATCGTGGAGACGGTGGAGGGTGACCAGGGGCTGGAGATGGTCAGTTCGGTGACATCTGAGATCATAGAGACAGTGACCTTGGAATCCCATTAGATAGGACGCAGAGCCAGAAGCTGCAAAGCTACTGTGGTTTAAATAAAGAGCCGTGGAATCTGAGAACGATCTGTGTTGTCTGAATTCCCAAGTCCCATGCCTGGTAGTGACGTCACCATGGAGTCTGTGATGTCAGCTGTGCCTCAGCCTGAGACCCCGGGATGTGTCAAGGGACACCCTACCTCACACCCCTGCTTAGCAGAGCCAACCCATTCCTGGCTCTGGTTCCCGGGGCTGTGACTGAAAGATTATAGGCTGAGAATCTCCACCTCCGTCTCCCTGACCTCTCTATAAGCCTGTCCTCCCGCTGAAGGTCCACAGACCAGGCAAGAACAGGGCTCTCATCCCCGCGGACTCTTCAGGGCAGGAAGGTGGGGGAGCACCAGCATTGGTCGCCAATGAGAAAAGGGAGGACCATCACCTAGACTTAACAAATTCCACTCCTGGATGCATACCCCAGAGAAACCCTCATGTCCAAGGAGACAGTCATGGGAATATTTGTAGTAAAACGCTAATACAGTCCAAGTTCTCACCCGCAGAACTGACAATACAGTGGAATATAAACAGCCTGGGATATTCGCCAGGGAGCAATAACTGGCAGCTACACGTATGACATAGATACGTTTTGCACATATGTTTTTAAAGACAGTTACAGTGCGGTGGTGTGCGCTGCTAAGACGCTGTGCTCTACAGGCTGTGGCCGGCTCTGGTTTGATTCCCTGTCCAGGTGCACACTGGAGTCCCGGTGTATGGGCAGGCTGAGGCAGGAGGATCACAACAGGAAAACCTTATCTAAATAAATGACGGTAGATACTCTCACCTCTAGAGCAGTTCAAAAACAAGGTCAAATACCATGGCGGACATGTTTGGTGAAACAGTGGAGAAAACTGAGGAGGCAGTAAATGCCTCGTTTCTCTAGGACAGAAAGGCAAGAGAGGAGAACGAGAGGATGGAACTACTTTTAGCAGTGTTAGTTTGCTAGATTCAGATTTTAGGGGCCAGCAGATGGTATAGTAGTTACGTCACTGGTCTCCCATGTAGTCAACCGTGGTATGAGGCCCAAACCTGGATTAAAACTCATTCCAGACATGTGTGCATGCGTGCTCAAAACCCTGAGAGGAGAATGAAGAAAGGATTCATGGCCATCCCCCATGGGGGGTGAGTTCTCACTTTCTGTCTCTCTGGTGAGTGCACACGCCCTATAGCAAAAATCTTAAGAAAAAAAAAGATTACGATTTTAAATGGCGTTATTATAAGACGTCTAGGAAAAGAATGATAGTGCTATTTTACAGATGAGGACACTGAGGCTTAAGAAGGTAACTTTCTGTAGTCATGGAGAGGGATCTTCGCAAAGAGTCCACCAGTCCACTTCTTTATGCAAAGTCCTGAGTCATGGGGAGAAAGCAGAGTGACCAAGTCCAAGTCCGAGGACGCCACAAGACCCTGGGACTTAAGCAGGTCCTGGCCACCAGGTTCTGAAACACTACAGAGGTCAGCACCAAACTTGCTGGATTGAGAGTGGAGGTGGTTCTGGGAAGGCTCCTGGTAAGAAGTCGCTGTCATCGATTTTCCAACTTTGGTGAGCTCACAGCCCCTCGCTGCCTTATCTACAGAGCATGCAGACCACCCCTTAGCTACATCTGGCTCCCAGGCTTCTAAGCCCAGCCTCTGCCTGGCCACACTATAGCCATAAACAGACCTCCGGGCTGGAATTCCAGGCTCACTCCTCACCAGGGACCACTCCTGAGTGAAACTGCACCTCTCTGCAGCCTAATCCTCCCCCAGCCACTAATTAAACTCTTAAAAGCCTGGCCCCGAATGATTTCTCCATACCAACTCTTCAGGAACTTTCTTCTGGGATTTTGAAAACAAACCCTGAAACCTCACAGGAGGAGGTTATGAGTTAGATCATGGCCTCTTGGTTGCTTGAATCGCAAGTAAATTTGTAAAGCTACTTTTTCTTTTGCTTTATTCATGAGAAAGAATACATGTGCCTGCAAGAGACAGAGAGGGAAGCTCTCTCAACAAGGTCTTGGCAGGGTCTCATCAAGCCTTGCTCCCCTTCCCCCAGCCATCTAGCTCGCCGGGATCCTGGGCATGCATGCACATGGCATATTTTTAGGCTGACCCCCATCTAGACCTGTGGTCTGCCATGTGGCTTCCTGCATTGAAATTCAGTACTGACTGTACCGTCTAGGCAGGGACCTTAAAGCTCTTTTGAGGACGGTCACAGACTTCATAATTAGGTGGGAGAGGTCTCCTCTATCTTCTATTGTAGAGGGAATCGGGGGCAGGAGTGGAAACACTGTGGAAAAAGGAAGAGGGCCAAGACCTACGCGCATCCACCGTTTCCTCCTGCCAGAAAGGTTCCTGACCCCAGGATAAGGAATTGTTGGAGTGAGTCAAGTTATTCTACAAAAGGAGAGAACATGCCAAAGATTAGATACGACTTGACCCCATGAGGAAAGCAATGTAAGAATCATTAACCCAGAGCTCCAGAGAAGATTTGGGGGCTTGCATGGAGGTGAATTAATAGTTTACTCTTGGCCAGCTTCTCCCTTGACTCAAGGGGAGGGAAAATGACACAAAAATCACATCATATTCCTTTAACTTCATGATTTCCACACAGGCAAGTATGGTAAACACTCATTTTTAGTCCATTATTGTGTTGCTAAACAGAAATACCTGAAACTGTGTGATTTATAAAGAATAAAGGCTTATTCGGCCCATGAATCCAGTGACTCGTAAGTCCAAAGGCATGGGGCCAGCGTCTAGCTGGCCTCTGCTGCATCACAAAATGGCCAACAAAAACAGAATGGAGTGCAGGGGCCAGCAGTTAGCGTAATGTTGCTGGACTCCCATGTAGTCGACCACGGTTCGAGTCCCGGACCCAGTGGCTTAAAACTCACACTGGGCGCATGTGCGTGCATGCCCAAGATCCCAGGAGGGGAATGGAGGAGAAGGGATTGCGGCGTAGCCATCCCCCCGGGGGGTGATTTCTCGCTTTCTGTTTCTCTGTCTCTGTCTGGTGAGCACACGCGCCCTATAGCAAAAACCTCTCCAAAAAAACCCCCCAAAAAAAACCAGAATGGAGTGCAGACACGTACAGCGAGAGTGATCTGCAGATAGCCATGTTACTTTTACGACAAGCTACTCTTGCAGGAAGTAACGCCTTGCACATGCCCTATAGCAAAAATCTTAAGAAAAAAAAAGATTCAGATTTTAAATGACATTTTTATAAGAAATAAAGGAAAAGAACGATTACTCTATTCTCCCTCCCTCCCACCAGATGGCATTAATCTATTCATGATAACAGTGCCCTCACGTCCAAGCAGTGCCCGCTAAGCCCCACCTCCTAGCAATTCTGCCATCTCGGAACACCATTACATCGGTGACCAAGCTTCCAGTGCATGAAACTTTGGGGGGCAAACCATAGCCAAACCATAGCAACAAGACTGGAAAAAGAAAATGCAATAAAAACATTTGTAAAGCACTTAGTCACTTATAAAGTTGTGTGTGTGTGTGTGTTGGTGTGTGTGCATGTACATGTGTATGTATGTGTGGTGTTATTTTTTTTGACAGTCTCCCTGCATCACAATCTTCATTTAGTCTCCTAAGTAATGGGGACTTCAGGAACACACCACCATGGCTGACTTTTTAGGATGGGTGGGGAATTAAACCCATGCCTTCCATATGTCCTCAGTTTGCCAAGTTCCAGCATCCAAATCACAATTAGGGCTGGGTCCCATTGATGAAGTTCTTTAATATACATTCTCTCTTCTGATTCTCACTCCCCTTCATTTTCCAGGCCAGCAATCTAGAGCTCAGAGCATCTGAAGAACTTCTCCAGGGGGGAGGTGATGGTGCAGAGAGGGAGCAACTCCAGGGCAACACCCTTCATGTAGCACCTACTCTGTTCTGGACTCGGGGCCCGTCTGGAGGTACAAGGCCATTGCCGGAGACAAGGCAGGTGTGCAAATGATTATTACAATTCCAAATCGAGTGACAGATACTTTGAGAGATGCATATTCAGGGGACAAGAGCTGCTTGGAGGATTCTGGGGCCTGGATCAGGAAAGGCTTCACTGAGGAACAGACAGTTTTAAAGTTTAAATAGGGCTCTGCCCTTTGCAGAGAAGGGAGAGCAGGAGTAAGGGTTGGAGGAGGAGTCGGAGGAGAGGTGGTGATAGAGGATCAAGCCAGGAAAGGAATGTGTACAAAGTACAGAGGCTTCAAATGTGTGTGGGGGTGCAGTGGGACTGTACAGGCCTTTGGGAGTCTCTGGAGGCTGCTGCCTGAAGGGAGTAAGATCTCTCTGACTTCAGACTGGGGAGCTGAGGGGCAGGGGGCTGCCTGGAGAGGGGATCAGGAAGCCACTGCACTAATCCTAGCCAGAGGTGGGAGCTGGAACCCCAGTGACAGTAGAAGACAAAAATGGGCAGAGCCAGATATTGAAGCAGTGAAGCAGACAGGGAGCTCAGTGTTTAGGGTCACCTCCTCTAAAGGAGGTAGGACTAACAGACGTGGATGCGTCTTCCCACTATGGCTACAGTTATTCTTTAAGGGAGCCGGCAAGAAGAGAGGGCCCTGGGAAAAACAACAGCTTCCAGGAAGCTAAGGGGTAAGACACTAGAACAAAGTGGCCAAGGGGGCTGTGGGACCTCAGCATCAGAGATCTCTCAGAGGAGAGACCCCTAGGCTATTCCTTTTTCTGCTGCCAGGAGCTGGGTAGGAGGTCCTCCTGCTCTGCTCTCCTCTCTGGGCACAAGAGTTGCCCAGTAGAGCCCCTTGGGGCCATGTGCTGTTACTGCAGGTTGGTGCTTGCGTGAGGGAAGCCAGGGCTAAGACTAATTTGAACCCCCTTTCCCATTATCACGCCACAAGTAGCTGAAAACAAATTCACTGGTAATCAGCCAAGTCCCTCAGGGGGCGGCCACTCCTGCATCATGTGGTGGCCAGCGGGGCGAGCTGATCAAGAAGGTGTGTCTCATTCAGTTGGCATGACTCTAGTCCTTGGCAGTGGGGGAACAGAGTGTAATGGTTACAAGACAGGTCTCCTGAAAG